ACCTGGGCCTCAGTTTCTCCATCTGAGAACTGAGGGTTTGGTTGGTTGATCTCTATGAGGCCTGCAGCAGGTCTCTGGCTTGTGTGACTGGGTGGGCAGTGATGCCATCACCTGAGAAAGGACACAGAGCAGCATGATGGGCTGAGTTTCACATGTGTTAACTGAGAACTCATGGGATATCCACATGGAGATGCCCTGTATGCAGTCTGAAGCTTAGACAGAGGCCTGGGCTAGAGATGTGGTTTTGCTGTTTATCAGATTAGGAACTGTAATAGAACGTGTTAGTGAAGGAGATCACCCAGGGGAGGGTATGGAGTGGGAAGAGCAGTGGCTGGTCATGGAAGCCCAGGACACTGACTTTTAAAGAGCCGGCAGAGAAAGAAGAGCCCGTGGAAAGAGGTAGAGCAGTCTATTAAGGAGGAACAAGGAGAGCCAGGCAAGCCCAGTGTCCTGAACACCAAGGCGATCAAGAAGCAGAGCCATATACAGAGAGAGAGCAAATAAGTCAAGGACTGAAAGCATCCATTAAGTTTGACAATTTGGTGGTAGTGGATGATCATAAAGAGAGCAACGTCAGCATCCCAGTGGGGTGGAAGCCACATTGCATTGGTTTGAGGAACAGTGTAAGGTGAGGAAGTGGCCCCTGGGTTTTGTCTACTTACTTACGGAGTCTGGGTGAGATGAGTATTAGCAACTGGACCACAGATGGATGGAGAAGCTGTATTAAAAGAGATGTTTGTCTAGTTTTGTTTTACATTTAGATGGAAGAATAACCTTAGGGAAAGGAGTAAGAACCAAAGAGAGACTAAAGATAGAGGATGACTGAGTAAAGTCCTAGAAGAGGCCGAAGCAAAATGAAAGTTTACCAGAAAGGTAAGTGGAAAAGAAAGAAATTGATGGGAAGGGAAAGGAGGTGCAGAGGAGGAGCTAGATGAGGCAAGAGTGGTGTACTTCCTCCTTGGAGAGGCGGGAGAAAGAAGGATGGATGCAGCTGTTGTTTGTCATTGAGTCAACTCTGACTCACAGAGACCCTATATGACAGAGTAGAACTGCCCCATAGGGTTTCCTAGGCTATAATCTTTATGGGAGGAGATCACCAGGTTTTTTCTCCCACTGAGCCACTGGTGAGTTCGAACCACCAACCTTTGGGTTAGAAGCTGGGTGCTTAACCATTGCACCACCAGGGCTTCTTCTTCTCTGATAGTAGTGTGCTTGCTTCTCTGGTAGTTCCCAATTGTCTAGGATTGGTGTGGAGAAGGTGGATTGCAGCATGAAACCAAGGTGGGCATTTGCTAGACTGAGGTAGAAACATAATTGTGCAGGGAAGCCGTCCGATGGGAGATTAAGTAGAGAATGATGGGCCATCTAGTGAATTGAAGATGGGACTCCTACACTGGAATGGAAGTTGAAGGAGGTGGGTTCAAACTGCCAACTTTTCCATTAGCAGCCGAGCACTTAATCACTGCACCACTGGGGCTCCTTTAGAGTGCATTAGCGTTTAAAAATTAATATTCATTGTTTTCCTTGAATATCATGACCATTCTGTGAGAGAAAGGGTAGTGTGCAGTGCAATGGATCGCTTTTATATGGGCTTTCTCACCATGGTCTTGTAACTCCCATCAAATGATTAGATGGGGCTATGCAGATAAGGTGCTTGTAGCCCACCAAGGGATTGGACAGCTTGCTCATAATACAAATAAGGTGCATGGCATCCTTGTGGGTGTGGGACCATGCAAATAAGGTGTATAGAACCCTAATGAGGGGATTGGTCAGTTTTGCCATCCCACTAGGCTTAAAATGAGCCATTCCAGAGGCAGAAAGAGGGAACCTCATTACCACCAAGAAAGAAGAGCTAGGAATGGAGCATGTCCTTTAGACCCAGGGTTCCTCTGCTGAGAACCTCCTAGACTCAGGAGGCAGAGAGAGAGAGCTGTAACACCAGAGATAGCAAGAGATGGCAAGAAGGAGAGGCAGAGAAATGGTGGCAGCAGAGGCAGCAGAACCAGGATACCAGCAGAAGACAGTGTAGTGGGCTTCCCAGCCCACAGCGTGAGAAAGCGGAGCACCTTCAGGCAGGAGGCTTGCTGGTGGATTAGGGTAGCTCGGGGCACTTGGCACAGCTCTAGGCTCTCTGACCCACAGAGCATGGGAGCTGAGTGCCTTCAGACTGAGTCTTTCTGGCAGCATGGGGTGCCTCTGGGCACTTACTCGTGGAGCTAAAGAGCTTTGTAACACTTGCTCAGCAGGACAGAGGCCCAGCCAAGGGGTTGAGGGGCTGGGACACCAGGGGGCCGAGAAGCCAAGGGCCAAAGAGAGGCCTGCCCGTGACATGGCTGAGAAGAAGCTATTCTGATTGAAGAACTGTATCCTGCATCATTTCTGATCCTGAATTGTAACTTATTACTTCCCTAATAAACCCCATAATTGTGAATATTGTCTTTGAGTTTCGTGTGGCCACTGCAACGAATTATCAAACCTAGCAGAGAAGTAGCGAGTGCCATGGGAGGAACGGCTGGTGTCAGAATTGACAAAAATGTTGGTGGGTGGAGATATCTCTAACCTCTACCTTATAGGAATCAGCTTTGCGCTGATGCTGATGGTAATTCTCTCTCCCCCTTATGAAGTTAGAGGAGGTCAGATGCCCCCACTATCCATTTTTACAGGTAGCTATTATCCCCATTCCTGAAATGAAACCAAGGCTCAGATAGAACTAGGATGCCAGCCTTCTGATTTCTAGTCTGTGGGTTTTCCCATTACCGTTGGCCACCTTCATGCTTTAGGAACTTGTTGAATGTTTTGGTGGTGAGGGACGGGAAATGTATTTTAGCTTTAGAGAGGTAATAAAGCTTCTCTTGTACATAGACTAGCAAAAGGAAATAGATATTGAAACGCAGGTGTAACCATGGCATATTCGCACTGGGGCTCAGGTCATCTTGTGAGACACGTTACCCACTTGGAGTTGTCTTTCCAGTTAGCGTTTATGGGCATTTACACCTGTTAAACTAAAGAGAGGTTAATCCCCTGCTGATCCTGAATATTTTAGACATCTCTTGGAAATCACAATCTAACACAATTAATTTAACATTAAACAAAAGTATGGAATTTAAACATTTTTTTTTTCTGATCTCCTACCCTATCCTCTGTGCTTGGAAAATTCCATCTAAAGCCAAGCCTATCAAATTCATTATGTTTGTCTCTAAACTTGCCAGAGACTTTTGTTTAGAGCCACCTCCATACCCAGCTATATTTATTCATTTGTTTCTTCAAATGCATGTATTGGTGCCTATGCAGTGCTAGAGACTGAAGTAATATTTTTTTGTTTGTTTGTGTTTAGCTTTAGACAGTCAAAATACTGTTTCCTAAAGTTACTTATGTTAGTTCTCTTCTTCCAGATCCCCTTTGGTGCAGTTTTTAATTCGTCTGTGATGGTTAGGTTCTTTTGTTAGTGTTTCCATTTCATATTAGCCATTAGTCTGTAGTATATGATGTGAACGTGTTCTCCCAGTTTGTCAGCTGTTTTTTGTTTATGATGTTTTGTCATGCAAAAATTTTGAAATTTTTATACGGTCAATTTTATCAATCTCTTCTTTTATTGCTTCTGAATTTTGAACCATTCTTAGAAAAGCCTTTCTTTGCGCAAAGGTTAAAAATGAATTCAAAAATATTTTGAAACATTTAACACATACTACTGGTAGGATTTGTTAAAAATTCATTTGGAACCTGAATGATAGCAACCCCCTTATGTCTTGTACGTGCCCCAGCATCAGCCCTCCCCACTGGTTCTCATGATCATTGCACCCCCTACTTGTCCTCATGGAGCCATCTCTTCAGTCTCTGCTGGTTCCGCCAGGCACAGGACTGGCATCTAAAACTATCCTGGGCATTATGCAAGATCTCACCTCACCAGCGGTGTTTACCCTTGAATATATTCCCTGTTTTTCCCTGGCAATCTTATTAAGCAATTCCTTTGGAATTCTCTGCTGAGTCCAGCCCTGAATCAGCAAGTCCTTACTCACTTCACCTTCCTGCCTCATGCCCTTTGTTCATGCAACACAGAAAATAAGCGTCATCCTTTCTCAAAGACCATTCAGCAACCTGCTCTCTATGGATGATTGAGTCCATTCTTAGCTATGTCTTCAGCATAAAAAATATTATAATAGCCAGGTAACAGGGGCTCCCCCGACTGAGGCTCTCTGTTCAGCAGAGCACAGGCATAATTCTTCATATAGTATATCCTCAGGAAGATGGAGACACATCTTTTCTACAGGGGTAGACAGTAGCCACAGAATGTCCTACTGAATGCTTATTATAAACTGTTAGATTTATTCATTTTTTTATTTTTTCACTGTGACCTTTATTCACTATGACCTTTAAGTAAATGAACAATATTGTGTTGTGTTCTGCTTTGCATATCAATAAATTAAGAATGGAAACCAGAAATAACGTTGGAAAATAAAAAATCTCTCTCTGTATCTCCATCTCTCTGCCTCTCTCTCTCTCTGCCTCCCTGTCTCTGGCTGTAGAGTTGCAGCTGTCAGCACAAACCAAAGGGTGGAATCAGTCAGGAGGCCACTTATTTTGGAAGGTCAGAATGACCTGGCTTTGTGCTCAGAAAAACACTGTCTACTAGGAAAGCCAAAGATGGAGACATAGGTTCTGCGTATTTCTTCGTGCCCTTCTATGCATTTAAATTTTTAATTTTGACTATTTTGGATATTATTCAAATTGATCAATAGACCTCTCTGTGTACTGTCTCTTGATGAATATTTACTATTTGAGTTAAGCAGTGACAGACCAATTTCAGTTTCACATCAATTATATACGTCTGAAGAGAGCTGATGGTGATTGAATGAGACATATTACTTAATAACACAAGAGGCAAGCTTCTGAAATTGTTGCAATGGAAGTAGAAGGTAGTAAGTTATGGCTAGAGGAAAAATTATAGTGTCTGAAATTATTGTTTCTCACTATTTTCTCCCCCCCCCCACCCCCCCAACCAGGGATCCGCAAAGTCTGGATCCACCAGAAGTCAGCAATGCCAAGCTTCAGTATGCAGGATGGGGCCCTAAAGGCCAACAGCTGGTAAGCAAGTCATATTCACTGACCAGATTTTGATTTTTATGTTTATATTTTATAGACTGAGTGTATCTCTCTGCTGTCACAGTGTGTGTGTGTTAATTAAATTTGGATCAGTGCAGGATATCTGAATGTGTAAAATCGCCATTTCTTTTTAGGTGGAGAACTCTCTTAAAATTGGAATAGTGTATGTTTTGTTTCCCATATGTGATATCCTTCAGTGGGTGCCCAACTGTAGCTGTTTGTGTAGACTCCAGATTGATTGTGAACTCAAAGAGATAAATTTCACCAGAGGGGCTGCAACTTGGGAATTACCAGAGTCACGGAGTCATTGAGAGTTTCTTGTTTTTCACTTTGAGCTCTGGCACTTACCTTTGGGGGATTTTGGAGAATGTAGATTGCTTCCCATGATGTAGCATCAACACACAGAATCCACTAGAGCTGATCCAGCCCTCCCAGTTTTATATCAAACATTTTCATGGATTTCTATGAAAATTGACAAAACAGAGATATTATGAAAAACTGCTAATGGCAAGGATGGTACAATGGAAAGGAGCCCTGAGAAAGTAGGTATAAGACGAAGGTTCTAGTCCTGGACAGTCCGCTGACTGGCTGGCCTTTGGTCAGCTCACCCACCGGTCAGGCTGGAGCCAGCTGGCCCAGCTACAAAGTATTTGGATAAGTTGATCTCTCACGCTTACTCCAACCCTAGCATTACATTTTTCTAAACCAGATGATACCCATCAGTTCTCTTTCACTTTATTTCAAGGGAGTGTATAGCTCTTCTGGAAAGTCTCTGGAGTTTGAAGATCAAGTGACGTGTTTGCAATATTCAAGTCACTGTTGCCTTCTGCATCTTTAAGCTGATTAAATAAAGCTGCATTTTTAAGCTTTCTTTTCCTAAAAGAGCACAGAAGTCCATCACTTTTAAAAGATTGGGTTTGGGATTATATTGGATAGGCTGTCTACTATTTTAGGAATTAAAATAGTCTTATTTTCCCCAATAGTACATTTGTATTTTCTTGGTTCTATATCAATTCTCTTGCCTCAAATTGGTTCAAAGAAACAGGAAATGTATATAGGCCATAAAACTATTTCAGCTATTACTTAGGTGTCCCTAATGCTACAAACTTGGTAATCAGAGATTTAGATAAACACATTTAACTGATGAAAATCACAGGAGACAGGAGGGAAGGAGTTCGTTGGGAGCTGACTTTGACAGACGGACATCAATCCATCAACTCAGTCACAAAGAAAAGATAAAGCTCATCTTTCTTCAAAGGCTATAGTAACTCTTACACTAAGAAAAAATGCAATTTAATAGGAGATTGGAGAAGACCTAAGCACTCATGTGAGTGAATCTTTAAGAGCTGAATTTAAAACCCTCTGAAAATCTACCTGAAGCCACTGCTATGTCTTGGATAATTGAATTTATACTCATGTCATCTTCCCCTGAGAACAGAGATGGGGTAAGTGATTACAGAAGTTGTCATATTTAATCTCTGAGAATGGTTAGAATGAAGACAAAATGGATGTCAACTTTCCTGAGGCAGCTTCTCTGCCTGCCCTTCCTACACTGTTAGGCAGGCCTCTCTGGGGCTCCCATAACGGTGTGCAAACTTCTAGCACATGCGATTTCTTGTTACACATTGGCATGTCTCTCTTCTTGGTTAGGCGGCCCTTCAGTCCAAGCATTCAATCCTTTCATCTGTGTACTCTGAGTGCCTAGCATGGTGGCTGGTGCTCAGTAAATATTTGTTGAGGTAAAGAAATGAGTGAGTAAGCAGACTGATTAATTAATTAATATGTTCTTGTGGTGCTAAATCACTGAAGCATAAAATCATTGGATGACAAGAAATAACCAGAATCTATGAATATATTCTAAGAGAGTATTAAAGATGCAGGGACTGTGACTTCCTTTCCTGTTCAAAGAAATGAATGTTCAGTTACGTAGTAATTGGTAATATTTGGGTTTAGTAGCAAAAGTACTAATCTACTCAAATTTTTTTTGAGTTTTTAAGCTTATTCAAACTTTGGGATTTTACTGTACAATTATAATAGGAAATACAGCTCAATGTCAACAGAGCATCCTATATTTTAGAACAAAGCTTGGAAGATTTGTGCTGTAAAAAGCCAGATAATAAATATTTTAGGCTTTCAGGCCATATGGTCTCTGTGGCAGCTACTCAGTTCTACTGTTGTGGAGCAAAAGCAGCCACAGGCAATATATAAACAAATGAGCATGTGTTATGGATTGAATTCTGTCCCCCAGAATACGTAATTGTAAATCCAAACCTCTATGCTTGTGGTTATAATCCTATTAGGGAATGGGTTATCTTTGTTATGTTAATGAGGCAAGTTAGCATAGAGTGTGTCTTGAATCAGTCTCTTAGAAAATATAAAAGAAGCAGATTAAGCAAACAGAGATGGGAGGAGGATAGATGCCAAGTCACATGGAGATCTACAAGGAGCCAGGAAATAGGAGCTGAAGAGACAAGGACCTTCCCCCAGGGCTGACTTGGAGAGAAAGCCTTCCCTTAAAGCCGGCACCCTGAATTCGGACTTCTATCCTTCTAAACTGTGAGAAAATAAATTTCTGTTTGTTAAAGCCATCCACTTGTATTTCTGTTATAGCAGCAGTAGATAACTAAGGCAGTATGGTTGTGTTCCAATAAAACTTTATTTACAAAGGCAGGCAATTTGGCCTGTGAGTGGTAGTTTGCCAACCCTTGTGTTAGCAGGATCTTGATGATCCTCCCAGTGGAAACCTAGCCTCTGGAACCACACACACCATTGGCAGGCATCATAGCACGCTACAAAGGAAGCAGGCAGCCTCTCCTAAGCAGGCCTTGCAAACACTGCCCTGTTAAGTCATGGCAAGCAACAAATCCCTCATTGCCATTTTATTTTAAAAAGTAAATATTGCTCCCTAAAGGAAATCTACTTCAATTAGAAGATTGAAATGAGTAATTCTCCTTCAGGAGCAGAGAACATAGCTGCAGTTAAAGTTTCCGGAAGAGCTTTCCAAGCATTATAACTTCCTTGTGCTGAGTGATTTCAGCAATGTGTTTGACTCTGTAACCCCAGTAAATCACAAGAAGATGATACGCTGCACGAGGAGTGAGCTAAAGGCGTTTTCTTAAATGCCTCTATGTAACTCTTACCTTTTAGAGTAGATTTTATTAGACTTTCAGATCGTATCATAGGCAATAAATGCTGCTGAGTGGTCGGAGCATTGTTAAAGGAAAGCGAGAAAATTAAGCATGAGAAAGGCCTCCATTCTGCCCAAAAGCTAGTAGTTTGCGGTTGTAGTTCTTCACGTTGGATAACCATATTGTTGCTAAAGTGTAGGCTAAGGGTCCAGATTCAAAGTTGTCTATTGACCCTAGAAATAGGAAAATGGAAGTATTCAATGAGAAAATACATGTAAAACATTTAACACATCTTCCTTTCCCCTCAGGAGCCCTGGTGGCACAGTGGTTAAGAGTTCAACTGCTAACCAAAAGGTCGGCAGTTCAAATCCACCAGCTGCTCCTTGGAAGCCCTATTGGGCAGTTCTCCTCTGTCCTATAAAGTCGCTATGAGTCAGAATGGGTCTGGTTTTTTTGGTCCTTCCCCTCACCCAGACAGTAATGGCCACTATACATGTAGATTTACATTCAAATATGTTATTTCAAAATTGTTCTCTGTAGTATATCTTTCTACATTTTTACCCTCTTCAGATGAATCTCTGCCTGTATTAAGAAATCCTCCGAGTTTCTTTTCTTTGATCTTTTCGTGAAACACTGCCCCTACATGTGTTTGTCTACCTGTTTATGTGAGGGTTCGTCTCTGCTAACCCATTGTTAGCTGCTATTGAGTCACCTCTGGCTCATTATGACCTGATGTACAACAGAAGAAAACGTTACCAGGTCCTGCACCATCCTCATGATAGCCGGCATACATGAGTCTGTTGTTGTCTTCCAACCCAGGGAGCTCAATTTCCAGCACTATATCGGACAATATTCTGTATGACCCATAGGATTTTCATTGGCTGATTTTTGGAAGTAGATTTCCAGACCTTTCTTCCTAGTCTATCTTAGTCTAGAAGTTCCACTGAAACATGTCTATCATGGGTGACCCTGCTGGTATTTGCAATACCAGTGGCATAGCTTCCAGCATCATAGCAACACGTAAGCCACCTCAGTACGACAAACTGCCAGACAGGTGGTGGCTCTGCTAACCTAGAATCTGATTAAATCGGCTGGTTCAGAAATATCCCTTTATTTCCTTTTATGTCATCACTGCTGGAAACATTGGAAAAGGAACAAACTTTGAGAGTGGCTGCTGTCTTATGATGTGTACTTGGGGTTAAATCATCTGCATTGTGCCCAGAAGGATAATATAGAAGCATGGAGAACTTTTGTGAGTTTGTTACGTAATGATGCTTTTCTTTGGAACCAAGTACCATGGAAATTTTTGAAAATAAGACTGCACAGCATTACACAGCATTAGGAATTCAGGACTGGACTCTTTGCTGGTGCACTCAGAAGATTAAACAAAGAGAAAGGGTATTTCTTTGGTTGGATTTTTCACTGATGGTGATAAACGAACAGGTTTAAAAGGGTCATTAATAAGTCCACTGGGAATTCTTGAATGCAGAGACAGCTTCCGAATGTGAAAAATGAAGAGCAAGGAAAACAGTTGGGCAGGAAGCCTGCTGGGGCAGAGCTGGGTGGTCCTGGGGAGGCAGTGTTCCCAGAGAAGCTGGTGGGGGTGGTGTGGCGATGGCAACAATACCAGCAATGGAGGAAAGCTAAGGAATTCTTACAGGCTTTGCTTGCTGGCTTAGAAGAGGAAGCCAGCTTATTCATCACCTCCCAGTGATGGAAGGCTATGGTATGAAAAACACTGAGAGACTGTTCTTTCCCTGGAGACAGGAGAGTGGAATTAGGTATGCTTACCAAATGGGGGGACTTAAGCTAGATATTATGAAGTACTACCTTGATGACTGTGTTATTAGACCC